TCTGGGAGTTGAAGTCCACAAGTCTTAAAGTTGCCAAGATTGGACACCCCTGTTTTAGATCTTCTGTCCAGATATGGACAGAAACACCATTGTTCCAGGTGTTCCATTACATTTCAGCTGCTGTAATTGAAAATTGTATCTTTAATGCCATCTGGTGGTTGTTCAGGTTTCTGCAAGTTCTGAATTCTATTGTTTCCAATAGCCAAATTATCTACCGTAATAGTTTTGTTTCCACGCAATCACAGAATATTTAAATTACTTCAGATTTTTGTTTCTTCTCATCCTCAGCCAATCTTTAATATATTGGCTGAACTTCTGAATGCAATTTTGGCTGGAGTTCAAAACAAAATACATTCTTCATTTCTTGAGCACTCATATTAGTTTACGAGCCAGCTTGAGCTCTGTGAGATACAATTCTCCTAATTAAATAATTACTCCTTCCTGAGAAAAAGTTTTTAAAATGATTCAGGTTTTATTCTTGTTTAATTCTCCTAAGGCTTTAGCATTTCTATAAGGAGCTCATGTTTATTTTTACATGAAGATGCCCAGCATGTGAAAAAGTCACTGGCCCTTGCTGAAGCAGCCTAACTAAACTGAAGTCACCTATATGCTTGAAAAAGCAAATTCCCCTTATAACAAAGGTAATAAATATTTCAAGAATTAATATCTACTTCAGTAATGAATTTGAAGCAGTTCTTTTATAGCCAGGATTTCTTTTAGTCCCGTTGTAAAACTAGTCAGCAACTGCTAAAGCAAGGGTGGAGAAACTATAGGGTTTTCTCAAATATTGCTGGATTATGATTCCCACCATTTCCGACCAGTGACCACAGAAATGGAGTTTATGGGATTTGGAATTCAAGAACTTCTTGTAAGTTTTGAGAAGCTGCCTTTCTTAAGAAGTCTTACCTTTGATGCTGGCTCTGAGGGAAGATCTGTACCTTGTGGGAGTCTGGAAGCCAGAAAAATCAAGTTAAACGCTAGTGTTATCTGATTACATCAGCAAATTTACTTCACCTAATTATATGATTATGAAGCCTATTTTGAGTTTTCCACAGAAATTAATTTACAGAATTATAACACATTCATCAACAATTTCAACAAAATGTTAAAGACTGTGCAGTTTCCCTTGAGTCAAGTTATGTAGCTTTTTCTCTGGTAATATCACACTCATCAGTCTCATACAGCTCATCAGTCTGGAACCCACATTACGTATCTCATATTAACACAGTTGAGAAAGTCCAGAAATATTTCACGAGAAGAGTTCTCCACTCCTCTACTCATTGCAGAATACCTTATGTCACCAGACTCGAAATTCTAGACCTAGAAAACCTAGAACTCCTTCGGTCCGATCTAAGTATAGTATATAAAATCATACATTGCAATGTCCTACCTGTCAATGAATACTTCAGCTTCAACCATAACAATACAAGAGCACACAATAGATACAAACTCAAGGTTAATCGCACCTAACTTGACTGCAGGAAATACGACTTCAGCAACAGAGTGGTCAATGTCTGGAATACTCTATCTGACTCTGTGGTTTCTTCCCCAAACCCCAAAAACTTTAACCTCAGACTGTCTACTATTGACCTCTCCCCTTTCCTAAGAGGCCATAAGCGCACCAATGTGCCTACTGTCCCTGTCCTATTGTTTCTTTTATTTTTCTTATATGTACCCATTTCATGTATTCATAACTATGTATATACTTATACCTATTATCTTGTAAGTGATTGACAAATCAAATCAAATAAAAATAAAATAAAAAATAAAATAAACTCCTGGTGACTTTATGAACATGTCCTAATGGTTTTTAATAGTACAGTAATACAGAAAGATTTATTTGCCTACTTTCAAGATGTTTTCCCCCCACTACTCCAGTCCTGATATTTTCACTATCTTCCAAGTATTAACTAGATTTGACCAAACTAAAGCTTTTTTCAAGATCAGCTATGATCAGCTAACTGGGCAAATATGTTTTTATACACTTATTAACTCATCTTAATGAAAACAAATATTAAGAGTGCTATTTGAGAACCATTTTTCAGCCTTGTGTCTCTAATTTTCCGAGTCGTCACTATGTATTTACTGCAACAGTCCTGCATTGAACACTTCAAGCACGTGAACCTTATCCCAAAGATTAAAAGGTAGCAAAGACAACAAAACATGGACTTAGACACACAAGAACCACACAAACACAAAACTGGGGTGCCCCTTCTTTCCTATACAACTCTCCTCTGGAAATGTGATAGAATATAGAATTTTGAGGAGGGAGGGGACACATTCCAGAGGAATAAGAGGCAGTTCAGTTAAGATATTGTTGTGTGAGAGAAAGAGGATAAAGACAGCTCCTCCTTAATAGTTCTTAGAGCATATGCTTGATGTAGTTAGTAGAGTGTTTCAATTCAGCAAGATTCTGTCTACAGATGTGGAACAATAAAAAAACTGTGTTTGGAAGAATTACCATGTGTCGTTCCTGGTTTTGGAGCTTGACAGGGATCTTCAGAAACCAGACAAACAAACCTTATGCAAAGCATGGTCTAATCACATAAAAGTCTCTGCTGCTTTGGGGAATATCCCCACCATTCTATGCAGTCCTGTTTAACCCAGTTTGCTTCACTGAACAGTATACTCCCAACTTGGAAAAGGGGACAAGAAAAGCAGCTGTATGGAAGAGAGGCAGGGAAACTACACTACTTAAGCAAGTTTTTTAACCCAGTATTAGTAATGGAAGCATGACAGGGAAATTCTTCCTTAAAGTAGTTAGTTGTTTTTTTAAAAAAAATAAATAAATCCTCACCTTAAATAATTAGCTAATGTTGCACTTAGCTCTTCAGGAATATACTCTGATATTAAGCCATGAGCATAACGAATATAATCTTCTGAAAAATGAATGAAATAGTTGTTGCATGTTATTCATCTATCTTATTTAGCAGCCTTGTGTCTCAAATGTGCCAATTCTATTCATTTTTCCCCTCTTTATCAGTTCCTCCCAGGTGTTGGAGGGGGGAGGAACCCGAGACATAAATGATTTTGCTAGGGTCCCTTTTTGGCAATGATTAAAAAGGGAAGTAAAACCCAAAAGTAAGTTTCATACATCAAAATCCACAAAGTAGTATATTTTACTTTAAATACCTTTCTTCAACAAATGTTGAAGACCTTACCTTCTGTGCCTCTGTTGGCCTGATTATTGCTGATAAATGTAGCAGCCTGAACTTTTTCACCCACAGGTATGTTATTTTCTTTTATTACTTTCACCAGTTGGTTAACCTAGCAAAAGCCACAAAATAATACCACCATAATCAAAGTTTGAAGCCACACACTGAAATCCATTATATATTTTTCATAGCAAATACTGCCTCTTTGTCATAGGGATGGGAAGTATAGACGCTTATCGAAATGAGATTTTTCGAGGCAATGAGATTTTTTAAAAGAGTAAAATATTCCTATTTCAATTGTTCAGCAGAAGACTATAAAGAATTATACTCATAGTACACATCATTATTAGAATCATTGCTATAAGAAAGGCAGCTGTAGAACTCAAATAAACAAATAAACACATTTTAGAAAGTGATTAATGCACATTGTTAAGTTGCAATATCTAAATCAATTCCTTAATGTAACAACATTTGTTCTACAGTAAATCATACCATGGTAGGAAGAATAAAGTTAGCACAATTATGCTAGTGTCAGTCATTTCTCTGCAATTGCTCTCCTGAAATTATACAAAAAGCTCTTTTTTAAAAAAGTAACAGTTGTGTTACTGGGCCCATGCCTGTTCCATTTTAGACTATTACTAAATTGATTATACTATATTATAGATTAAAAAGTGGATGTATTTGTAAATATCTACTGAAACCAAGGGGCATTCCGTTCAATTTAATTCAATCATTGTGTTCTAAAAAGCTGCTTCTTTATCATTTTTCCCTCAGATTCTTTAGAACCGTTAATATTGAAACAACTATAAAATTATGAAACTGATGACATGTGGATCTGAGTCCTTAGTATGATACTTTATAAATATTCAATCTAATGCTAAGTTAGAAGGGTGTGTATTTTTTAAAAGATACCGTATATGCCGGCGTATAAGACGACCCGGCGTATAAGACGACCCCCCAACATTTCCACTCAAAATATAGTTTGTTATATACTCGCCCCCTCTTCCGCACGCCTTCCACTTTTGCACTTTTTTTTTTTTGAGGCACTTTTGTCTACCGTGGAAACGAATCCCGTGAAGCTAAAAGGAGCAGCCAGCCTTCTCCCAGCTCCCAAGGAAACAAGGCTCGCACCGCCCGGGCTCCGCTGAGGTATCCGGCTGGGGCTGTCAGAAGTTGTTACCGCTGGCGCGGCTCCGCGCGGCTCCAGTCCCGCGTTGCCTCGGGAAGGGAAAGGCAAAAAGGAAGAGCCGCGGCTTTTGCCTTTCCCTTCCCGAGGCAACACGGGACTGGAGCCGCGCCAGCGGTAACAACTCCTGACAGCCCCAGCCGGATACCTCAGCGGAGCTCGGGCGGTGCGAGCCTCGTTTCCTTGGGAGCTGGGAGAAGGCTGGCTGCTCCTTTCGGCTTCACGGGATTCGTTTCCACGGTGCGCAAAAGTGCCTCAGCCGCAGGCAGCCGCAGTGCTTCCCAATTACTATTTGCCGGCGTATAAGACGACCCGGCATATAAGACGACCCCCCCAATTGGAGGCATCTTTTTCAGGGCAAAAAAGTCGTCTTATACGCCGGCAAATACGGTAAAAACTAAGTCTCAAGAAGCAAGATCAGCCCTCAGTTAAGAACTGCAAATAAAAATCATGTATGAAATAGCTAGCATTTTCTCTACACAATGAGAGGAAATATGCCTTAAAATCAATTTTTTAATCATTGTTTTCCAGTTATGTAACTATTACATATTTGCTTTATACTTCTATACAATGTATTATGCAGTCGATCCACCACTGAAGAAAGAAATGCTATACTTAATATTAAAATGGGCGATAGAGAAAAATATACCTTTTTATTTAACCATGTCAGTGTTTTCTTCTCACTGTATCTAAAAAATTTCTTACCACCTATTTCTGAGAATAAAGAGAAAGAGGAATAATCAAACTATATTTAGTCTGCACATTAATGCAATTGAGACAAAAAACAAATTTATTTCAGTATCTGGAGAAGTTTATCAACAACACTGAATATTTTGGAGGTGATGAATACAGACCTTGAATACACACACACCTAACTAATACTAAATCCAAACCACAATCTAATTAATTTATCTGAGTATTATCTAAAACACCTTTCTTTTGTGAATAGTGCCTTTCTGCTGTGCTGCATTACAACTCCCAGTATCCTCAGAATAGCTGTGCTAATAGGGGGTAGGAAATATGAGAGCTGGGGGAACCAGGTTTGAAACATTTCACAACTGGTAGCAGCCTTGTAGTCAAGTATTTCTCAAATTTGGCAACATTGAGATGTGTGGACTTCAACTCCCAGAATTCCTCAACAAAACATTCTAGCTAGAGAATTCTGGGAGTTGAAGTCCACACATTTCAATGTTGCCAAGTTTGAGAAACACTGCTTTAGAGGTTCAGAATCACACTTTCACAATCTTGCAGGAACTCTGGCACTGAGTTTGATACTTCTTATTGGATACAGTTAGAGCAAATCTTTATAGAGGGCATTTCCAGAAATATGAATATCATGGACTGGATCTTGAATTTGCCTCCTAAAAATAGATGAGCTCCTTTCAACCATAGAAAGCATTGGACAGGCAGCATTTTTTTGCAATTCTGCAAAAGTTTTGCAATTTTGCAAGTCTGCAATTTTTGCAGACTGCCTACAAAAACTACCAGATGCCCTGCCCTATTCCCTAATTCCTATACAGGTAGTCATTTAGCGATAGTACACAGTTATGAATAGTGATGAAAAAGTAACTTTGCAACCTATCTTTGCGTTCACAACCTTCAGAGGTTGTAAAGCAAAGAAAAGCTGAAGTCAGATCAGTCAGTTTTACTTAGTGACCACTTTGCTTAATGACTGAGTTGCTGGTCCCAATTGCAGTGCTAAACAAAGACTAGCTATAATCCATGAACACACACACACAGCAACAGCATAGGAGATAGAGTTATGAGTTAGGCTCAGAGGAATTAGGAGAGCATTGGCTCTACCTGACTGGGAGGACTATCCTAAGCAGAACTTTCTCTAGTAGCACTTCAAGTGACAGAAGCATGGATATAGACTCTAGGAAGGCAACCTCAGCAGTTTGTCTTAGGATCTCTTTGGATTCAGGCAGGACACCAGATTTATTCTATCTCATTTCTGTGCTGTGCAAGGATGGTTTGAAAGGGGTGTGTGTGTGACTAAGACAACTAGCTTAATCTAAGTAGTGGCTAAAGTTTGCAGGTCTACCTTAATTATTAATATTTTTGCTTGTTTTATACCTTTTTGCTCAGCTATGTGGTGAATTGATTGTGAAGTATTTGTGCACTGTAGCAATTGTATGCTGGAAGAAAACTCTTCATCCACCAAAACTTGATCCAGTGGCTGAAACTTTCCCTGCTGAGGGGAAGGCAGAGGAACAATCAGTAAGAAAAAAATGATTCAAACAATTCTTAACCAAAACATGGTTCGCAGAGAGTTTAATGGATTTTTCCCCCCAAACAAGACTATCTCACTGCTGAGCCAAATGTTCTAATACATAAGAAGGCAGCAGACCATTAAATACAATTTCAGAAATGGTTTTTGAGATATTTTAGAAATGATGGATATTTTGGGGGGAGGGAGGCAGAGATACATAATGTAATGTCATTTTTCTGAAACATTTTAGTTGCCTACCTCTTTTTCTGCTTTCATGAGGTAAAAAAGTACAAGAAACAAAGAATCCATTGGTGTAGCAAAAAATAGACGTCCATCTGAAGGTGGAAAAATAAATATTATTCTTAAAGGAACTGTATACACAATTCAGACTGCTTCCATATAAGTTAGGGACAAAAGCTACAATGACTCAGCAGCAAAGTCAAAGACCTACAATCTATTCCTGACAATTTAAATTTAGACTTTAAAGTTTTAAAAAGACTAAGTATACTATAAAAAGGAAAGATGTTGTACATTCAAAATCCAAACATACATTGTTTTCCACACACATACAAGACAAGATACATAAAGGAGAATCAAAATAATAGGACTATATGCTATACTACTTCAGATACATCAAAATGTATTACCTTTCTAAGAACATCATGCAAACCAGGAAAAGATGTAGCTGGTTTAAAGAGTTGCAGGCAAGTTTTATGCCGATAGCTCAATCAGCGCTGAAGCCATTTTTGAAATCAAATTTGAAGTGTCCATAGCGCCCTCCCCAAATTTCATAAAAACCTCTATATTTTTGTTAAAATAACTGTTGTATTAGTTACTTCCCTTATGGTTCTAAAAATTTTACCTGCAGGGTAAAAATTCTCCTTTTTTGTATCTTGTCTTGTATGTGTGTGGAAAACAATATATGTTTGGAATTTGAAACTGGATCTCATGTGAATCAAAGTGAGAAGAAATGAATTGGCTATTATGATTTAAGTAAGTATGATTCTGCTAAAAAATTATCCAGAATTGCCCTATTTGGGCATAGTAATTTTCTACTAAGTGTTTTAAAAAATTGAGATCATGGATGAATAACTTAATTTACCCCCACACACCCCCAAAAGACCTGAGTTTAAGTAGAATAGCTTGCCCAACACAGACTAACAAAAAAGGCCATCATCCTATCTTCTGTCTAACTCTAACCTCAAGATAAATGAGATTTCAGGAAAAAGCCAATATCTCTTTCCAAGGTAAATGGATCACTGAAAAATGTAAAGTATAACTATAACCCCTTCTCAACATTTTCTCAAAACATGACTGCAATGAAGACATGGAGGAAAAGGTGACATCAAAAAACTGGCTTCTTCCTCCCCCACCAGACATAAAGATTACACCAGATCCAGAGGTGGATGGTGATACCTTCAAATCACTGTGAAGAGACATCATAACACTTGATACAAGTCATGACGATTCAATGAAATAAATGCAAATTTGTTGGAACATCCCAATTTCTATTTCTGTGAGGGGTGGAAGAATTAAGAAGTCATAATATGAATTACTTCAAGCTATAGAGAAAATATTTTAAGAAGTGCAATTGTGACTCAAGGACTTGCAAAAGAAGTGGAGAGTCTATGGAGCTCAACTCCAGGAATGTTACATTAAACTACAACTCCCAGCATATCTCATCACTGACAATGCATCCAGAGAGGCAGATTCCCCAGCCTTGCCTTATACCATTAGATTAGATAGATCTATGTTCAACTTTCCTTGAACTAAGTTCAACTTTCCACTTACCACATTGAACTTCTTGACCAATAAACCATGACCGGTATTCTTCATGAAAAGCTTTTATTTCAAATATCTGGCATGCATCGCTACCAAATAAATACAGGGCAGCTTGTCCTGTTAAGAAAGAAACCACGATCACATTATGGCTTTGTTGTGCAATATTTTTCCAAGGCTCATCTGACTAGAGAAAAAACGATAGCATTCTTACAGAAAAATATTTCAATAGGTATGAATTGTAAGCAAAAGAAAATTTAGCGAATGTACAAAAGGCAAAAAAAAGGAATAGGAGGAAATCAATCATATTATTCCACTCTTAAATAATCAACTATAATATTGTTTGATTATTTAATAGTATAACAATTATACAATATAATAATTGAGTATAGTTACCTTGTATACCATAGTATGTCTGCTTTTAAAGTTTCAGCTGACAAAGGGATGATTATGAGGACAAGACTATTACACAGGGAAATAAAACAGATGGTGTTAAGCAAGTAATATTTTACAGTGTGAGCCTTGCCTGTACTTGGATGTGGCAGCCTTGAAAACAAAGGTCCAGCACCCGGCTTCTTTGGGAGATCTGTTGCAGTTTCTAAAAAAGGGAGAATACTAGAATTGTGATACCCATATATAAATTATAATAGCACCTTAGGTCTGGTCAGTTCTGAGGGATAGAAATTCTCCTCCCAAGAGCCAAAGTAATCTTCCTTTTGTCCTCTTCAAATTTGAAAACAGTTTATTGGCTGAACCCTACCTCTTGAAGACAGCCTTCTTATAAATAAGGCTGGAAAGAAAAGCCCAGACGTTGCTTTTCCCAAACTATCAATGTTCATGAGCATGGAAGTAAGATGGCCAAGCCACTTCACTTTACCCTGATGTCATAATCTGATTCAGAAGACAACTGGGCTTGCCTGGATCCCACCAACACATTTGTGTTGTCCTTTGTGGTCTCTTTGAACTTGTTTGCAAATATTTCATTACTCAATTAGGTGAAAATTCAGGTTAAAAATAGAAGAAATGCAATATTTGGAGCATGACTGTCTTCTACCAGGTTCCTTTTTTCTTTGTTTCTTAAACCAGTGTTTTTCAAATTTGGCAACTTTAAGATATGTGAACTTTAACTCTCAGAACTACGCAGCCCACCATGTACTGGGAATTGAAGTCTACTTGCCTTAAAGATGCCAAATGTGGCCTAGACCAGGGGTGTGAAACTCGCGGCCGCTAGGCCAGATGTGTCACATGCTGACCTTGCCCCCACCCAGTTTAGCAAAGGGGAGAAAAGTCCCGATACATCGCGTGAAGATGTGAGTTTGACACCCCTGGTCTAGACTGATGCTGAAAGCCCAATGAGACCAGATGGATGCAGTGCCTGGTTTACCTTGGCTAGAACATAAACTTGGGGGGAAATTGTGCTAAGTGGCTGATCAAGCTTCTTTGATCTATGCTTGTCTAAAAAGCATGGAACAGATGAATCAAGGGGAGAAGGCACCAATCACCTGCTACTTTACACCTAGGAACCACGTTGTCGTAAGATAGTAGGTAAAACCTCATCAAACAATTGGATGAAGCAATTCCCCACCAGACTCTGGGATTTGAAGTCCAAACATCTTAGAAGTTAGCAAGTTTGAGAAACACTGTCCTAAACTAAGCAATGACAGGCCTGGATGGGAGACCACAGCATCAATTGGGCAATCAAAACAAAAACCTACCCTGCCATGAGGGGACAATAACAAATCTCCCCTGCATTTTAGCCAAAATGCCCTATACAAACTAACCCATCAAGTCAGAATCAGAATAGAGCTGGAAGGGACCTTGGAGGTCTTCTAGTCCAACCCCCTTCTCAAGCAGGATATCCTATCCCATTTCAGACAACTGACAGTCCAGTCTCTTCTGAAAAAGCTGTACTGAAGATGAAAACGCCCACAATATCTGAAGGCAAAGCTGTTCCACTGGTTAACTGTCCTCACTGTTAGCAAGTGTCTCAATTCCAGGTTGCTTCTCCCCTTGATTAGTTTCCATCCATTGTTTCTTGTCCTACCCTTCTGGGAATTGGGATTCTGAAGCCTGGTTCATTTTACTTTGGACCAGCCAACATCTTCGGGAGGGCAGGAATAATAGCACGGATCCGTATCTCTAACATCGTAAGAAGGGTGAGATCCCAAACGGGGAAGCCCATTCACACAGCCACCCATCGGGCTGCTTCCAGGCAATATCAACAAGCTCAATCGCTTGAATGCAGCCCGCAATTAACCCTCCTCCCCCGCCCCCGTGCACGGAAGGGAGCCGCTTCTTTCAACACTCCAGGATCGGCTGGGTCTGGGTCAACGTTACCTGGGAGAACCACCACCCATTGGCGACTACTGTTGCCGCCGCCGCCGCCGCCGCGTTTTTCTGGCCGAGCCGCCAGCGGTTTCCCCTTCCCGCTCGGCATCTCGCTTCTGCTAAAGAAGTGGCAGGTCTTGGCTTAACTAACCACAGACGTATTAAAAGGGTAGAGCGGCAAGTGCCGCTTGGCTTGCGAGTCAAGTCTGAAAAATATCCTCACTGCGGCTCGCAAAAACCAGCCGCAGGCAGCTAAGCTGCCTTCCCTGCCTGGGAAGCAGCGGATGCTCTGCGGAGGCGGTGAAACTACCCTGAACTCTTGTTACCGTCTCAAATATATCGGGATTGTTGTATTTTTTGGAGGGGGCCCTGGATGCAAAACGGACGAAAAAGAGGAAAGTGAAAAAGAATGTTCTTTGTGCGCCAACTCAGAAAGCTCCAACTGCCCCAGAAGCTGCTGATAAAGTTCTACAGAGGAATTATTGAGTCTGTCATCTGAACCTCTATGACTGTCTGGTTTGGTTCTGCAACCCAACAGGAAAGACACAGATTTCAGAGGATAATTAGTACTGCAGAAAAAACAATTACTACCCACCTGCCTTCAATTGAGCACCTGTATACTGGATGAGTCAAAAAAAGGGCTGTGAAAATATTTACAGACCCCTCAGATCCCAGACATAAACTTTTTCAACTCCTTCCCTCAAAACGACACTATAGGGCACTGCACACAAGAACAACTAGATACAATGAGTTTTTTTCCCCTGAAAGCCATCACTCTGCTAAACAAATAATTCCTTCAACACTGTTCAACTATTACAAAGTCTACACTACTATTACTGTTAATCTTCTCATCACTCCTTATCACCCATCCCCTCCCACTTGTAACTGTATGACTGTAACTTTGTTGCTTATATCCTTACGATCTATATTGATGGTTTCCTAGTATGATTTGATTGCTTATTATACCCTATGATTATCATTAAGTGTTGTACCTTATGATTCTTGATGAATGTATCTTTTCTTTTATGTACACTGAGAGCACATGGACCAGGAGAAATTCCTTGTGTGTCCAATCACACTTGGCCAATAAAGAATTCTATTCTATTCTAAAAATAATCATAGGCGTGATTCAAAAACATCTGTAAAAATACAGGTAATCCCCGACTTACAGCTGTAATGGCACTGAAAAAAATGACTTATGACTGTTTTTCACACTTTCGACCATTGCAGCATCCCCTGATCAAAATTCAGATGCTTGGCAACTGTTTCATACTTATGACCATTGCAGCATCCCAGGGCCACGTGATCCCCTTTTGCGACCTTCTGACAAGCAAAAGTCAATGGGGAAGCCAGATTCACTTAACAACAGTGTTACTCATTTAACAACTGCAGTGGTTCACAACAACTATGACAAGATATAAAATGGGGCAAAACACATTGAACAAATTTCTCACATAGTCCACACATTTCTAAATTGTCAAGTTTGAAAAGCATTGTGACATCCAGATTGCTTTCTATTGTTTTACATGGGCCATGGCTGTTTTTAGGGAATGAAGGGGAAAAAATAGCAGAAAAGGTTTATCTTATAGTTCTTTGCTGCCATCTTTTGCCAGGAAAAGTAACAGTGAAGAGAGTTCTGGGAACTGGATTAAGTGAAAGCAGATTATTGGGCAACCATGTTTTACAATGCATAACCAAAAAATCCTCGTGCTTTGGAGCCATAATGCACAATGTCTTTGGATCATAAATATTTATTTATTTTTATTTATTTATTTATTTGATTTGCCAATTGTTTACAAGATAATAAGTATAAGTGTATACATAGTTGTGAATACATGAAATGGGTACATATAAGAAAAATAAAAGAATAAGAGAAACAATAGGACAGGGACGGTAGGCACGTTGGTGCGCTTATGCACGCCCCGTAAGATGGCCCGTAAGATCTAAGTGTATTTCTTCAGACCACACACAGATTATTTATATGATTTATATGATTATTTATTCTTATCTTCAGCCATGAATTTTACAGATCAGTAAAAGTAAATGAAGAATACATCTACAGTAGTTTTTTTAGATGTTGACAGATCAGCCCAAAGTAGGCATCCCTGCATGATGATTAGTTTAGGTGAAGAGGTATGTCATACACAAAAGCTGTAACAAAAGCTTCAGTCCTGAACTGAAGAAGCTTCTAGGATGAGAAGGTAAATGTTTTCAAGGAAAAAAAACCAAGAAAGTCCACTTGCCTTTTGCAAACACCCAAGGGACAATTCTGTGCCATCTCATGGCTAAATTATAGGACTTCAGCTCCTAACTATTGCCACTTCAAGGAAGAAATCATGAGACTGTGCAAATTTCCCCTTTCCTTATTGTTGTATGCTGCTATCAAAAGCAAGGATTTGGATGGACCAACTTTGAAACTTATCATGTACATGTGTACATACATGATGCACATACATACATGCATGCATATATACATACATAGAACTGCTATTACTGTAACCTCTTCCAATATCTGGTAAAACATCAGGACTAAATAGATTCCCTTTCAGTATGGTAGTATAAAACATTTGGGGCAAAGAATTTGTCAAGTATATGAAGAGATGTTTGATAAGGGAATTTTATCACCAGCATTTAACCAGGCTTATATCACAATTATAGTAAAAGCAGGTAAAGATCATACTTAATGTGCTAATTATGTTTCTTTAAAACTCTTGGTTTTGTCTTATTACTTATCAAGTTTTGGGAGAAAGTATTAGATTATGTAATTATGCACACCAGCAAAATTTTCATATGATTTTTTTTTGAACTACATACCTATTACATGGAAATTGACAACTGAACAAAGGAAATGGATTATCTATGCCTCTACTATGGCCAAAAAACGGATATTGCAGTATTAGGAAGATGTATGGCTCCTTTCATTCAATGAAGACCTCATTGTACTTGCCACCTATGAGCAGATTACCTGTAGACCCAGACTTCACATGGACAAATATAATGAAATATGGGACTGTAGTTATTTATACAAAATACAGTAGGTTAATAAAATATAATTATATAAATGTATTATACACACACTTGGATTGTATATAAAATATTATTTAATGATACACTGTACCTTTTCTTTTGTTGCATTTTTTCATTTTTTTTAAAAAAAGTGCTTTCCCCTTTTCTTTGACAGTGCATGTATCTTTGTGGGGTTCTTCCCCCCCCCTTCTCTGTCATTATTATAAAAGCAATAAAAGAATAAATAATTTTAAAAAGCCACTCCCAATATCAACCAGAATCTGCTTTCCCACAAAATAAACCCGTTATTCTTGGCCTTGCACTCTGGAACATTGGAGAACAGGCCTTGACTTTCTTCTTTAAGATAACTTTTCATGTTATTTAAAGAGCATCCATGTAACATTTCTTCACAGGTCTTGATTTCTAATCTGCTGATCATCCCTGCAGCCTTTCTTTGAAACCATTTCCGTTTGTTTCATTGTATTCTGGTACATTTGATCCAGGTAAGCGAAGAAATGGCTCCGTTTTTCTTTTTGAGCAGCAAAAGTCCAATATACTGTACTTCTTTTTTTACGTATCACAAAGCCAGGTAAATAACGAACGCATCCATTCCCAATTCTGCTTCAATTTGGGGAATGAATGCTGGTGGCGGATAAAGCATGATTCTTTCCAAGTCATCTACAAAAAAAATATTTTCTCCGCGAATATCCCAGTTTAAGAATATAGGTATATCGATTTTGGCCTTTAGTCGCAGGAAACCCCTTCCACTCTGACACTGCGTAGATAGTAAGTGTTTAATCGGAACCGGAAATCGTGGTAGTGTAGACGTATAGGTAGCCATTTGGGGGGGGGGGGGGCGGAGGAAGACAGTAACGACGGCCGGAAGTCGGATCTTCTTCCGGGTGAAGCGTACGACGACCTGCGCAGGGGCTTCGGCGTACCTTCTCTGCCTTCGGCAATTTCGGCGTCTACGGAGGTTTCCTTTTTTTGCGGGTGAACCCGAAATATCCGAGGACCGTTGCCATGGCGATGCAAGCGGCGAAACGTGCGAATGTGAGTCGGACAGGGTGGCCATTTTGAACGCCCCCCCCCCCTTTTTTTCCCTGCTTCTTCTCCCCCTTCACTTGCCGTCCCTCTGTTTGCCTTTTGTCGTTTGGGAAAACCAGGAAAAACGTGAACGGGAAGCCGGCAGCTTTCCCGATTTCGTACCCGCCCGTCTGGGCTAATAGGCCCGTCTTCCAAACTTGTCTTGCGTGTGATGGGAATTGTAGTCCCGGCCTTCTCGAGAGCT